TTTTTTTCGTTGGTAGATCTCATGTAGCTCGTCATTTGAAAAGTAGATCTTAACACTAAAAATTGTGGGCACCCCTGACATAGGGGCTATCACATTCTTAGCCCCCCCCCATGTGATAGCAATAAAGTTATGTAAAAAAAAAAAAAGTAATACAGAAATTAAAGAATCATTAAAAAAAATAAAGAAGCATTAAAAAAAATTTTTTAAGTCCTCCGCCCCCCACATACACATGCAGATATGCGTCAGGTGCGCCTACGTGCGAAAACAACGATTGCGCCTATTGTGCCGCACATGTTACATATAACCGCGAACATCGGAGTGTGAGCAATAATTTTAGGGCCATTAATTACTGATAACACTAAACTGGTGAGCAGTAAAAGCGTTTTAAGCGTCGCCTATTGCCAATTTTCAGTGGTTGTTTTTTGCGATTTTGCAGGCGCACGCAATTTTAAGGCTTGACATGTTTGGTGTCTATATACCCGACGTGACACCGTCTTTCATATTTTACCAAAAATATGGGTAAGAATAGATGTTTTATAACATAACGTAGGCGGAAAAAATGTTATTCAAAATTTACGGTACTTTTTTCATTATATAGTAAAAAATAACCCCCCCCCTAGTGGTGATAATATACCTCCAAAAAGAAAGCTCTATCTGTCCCCAAAATTTTTTAACATAAATTGCAAGGCTATAGTCCGGTCATGCTGACTGGTGACATTTTTGACTGACTGGTGAGACACCCTAAAATTTTTCAAGCCCTGCATATTGCTATAGAGAAAACTGGCCCCCCAACCCCCCCTGGCATTCTCTGCACTAAAGTAGCTAACACTCTAATGTCCCCCCACAGTCACACACTATTATTATACATTTATACAGCTCTGACTTATACTGTAGCCGAATCAATTTGAAAAATTAAATTGCCGAGGTCCAGGGGTCACTTGTAACGCAGAGGTCAGTGGTGTAATGCAGAGTACAGAGGTCAGCGGTGCAACGCAGAGTGCAGAAGTCAGCGGCGTGATGCAGAGTACAGAGGATAGCAGTGTGACGCAGAGGGCAGAAGTCAGCGGTGTGACTTATAGTGCAGAGGTCAGTGGTGTCCCGCAGAGTGCAGCGTTGTGACTCACAATGCAGAGGTCAGCGGTGTGATGCAGAGTGCAGAGGTCAGCGGTGTGATGCAGAGGTCAGAGGTGTGATGCAGAGGTCAGCGGTGTGATGCAGAGTGCAGAGGTCTACGGTGTGACGCAGAGGTTAGTGGTGTGACGCAGAGTGCAGAGGTAAGCAGTGTGACTTACAGTGCAGAGGCCAGCGGTGGGGGGGGGGGGGGTTTCTGGTCTCAGGTAAAGCCTCCAGTCCAGCACGATGCCCAGATGCCTCCTTGTGCCCTCACTTCAGGACCCGCTCTTTCTCTGCCAATGGTAGCCCTGCAGTCTTCATCCCAGCCTATGGCAGCTGAAGTGGGAGGAGGAAGCTGGAGGTGGCCACCGAGGAGCCCGACTATTCAGTGGGCTTTCAGAAAGGCAGCCGGACTCCAACTCAAGATCTCCAACGACCTGACTTACTTAGAAGTAAGAGGTTTGGCCAAGAAGGCTCTACTGCACGTAGGCCACTCGTGGTATTTCCCTAAACACATACTACAGAGCAATAAAGTATTAAAATAAACTACGATCAGACTAATCATGCACGTTATTAATCTGAGTGCTCCACTCAATATGGGCGCAAGCAGCGGCCATATTAAGTGGGGCAATTCAGATTAATAAACATGCTGAAATAGTCTGACCCTAGTTCATTTTAATATTTATTAAAATCTGCAGTATGTGTATTTTTGAAATGCCGCGGGTGGCCCACATACAGTACACCCTTCTCGGCCGATCCTCTTACTTCTAAGTAAAGCTGCCCATACACCTTTACGACTACAACTTTCGTTGTGCGATGGTTGTAAGGTCATTAAAATTTCGTACGACCTGCCCATCTTGGACAGGCAGATCGTACTTGCGATCATCGCAAGCCCTCCCCGCTGAGGGGAGGGCTTGTCGATGATTGCAATGATGAGAGGGCAGCCCATGCAGCTTTTGTCTTGAGATCGTGCTACCAAACTGCCGATTTTCTAGCATGCTCGTAAGAGGAAAGTCGTGCGACCGTACAGTAAATGTGGTTGCACGCTGCTCATATACCTGCCGATTCGTATGATCGCGTGATCACCCGTGATTATCGTACGATAATCGGCAGGTGTATGGGCACCTTACGTCGGGTCGTTGGAGATCTCAGAAGTTGGAACTTTCGATAGAACATTGGCTTTTCTTCTCCTGAGCTGCAGAGAGGATCGTGGCAGCGCAGTGTCTGTGCTGATGTCCCCGCAGCTGCAATCCCTCCTGTCAGCTCTCTCCTCCCGGGCCGCTCTGTATCTGCAGCGGCCGGGAGAAGAGAGAGAGAGAGAGAGCTGACAGGACGGGTCGCAGCTGTGGGGACTGCTTACCACAATCCCCTCCGCAGCCCATCCCACGGAACCAGCTCCCCGCCCCCTTCGGCTGCCAGCAGCTTCAGGCATAACGGGCCGGGACGAACATTAGGCTGATTGTGTTCGGCCCGGCCCACCGGGAAAGTGCACGGTATGCCCGATGGCAAGTCCGGCCCTGCTTGCCACTGCCCACCCATCCACGATTGGCACACACACTGAACATAAAGCCAGGAGAAGCAGGCATGGGGGGATGGCAGCTGCCGACAGACAGGCCCACGATCTCAGGGAAGAAAGTTGCTTGGAGAGTGTTTTCGGTAAGACTGCCTGGACTTTCCACCCACATGGTGCTGTATTAATGTTTGCTGGGATAGTGGGATTTGTATCCCTCTATAGCTGATGGTACATTGCCAGGACGAGAGGACGGCGGAGCCTGACAAGTAACTTCCCAGCCGGTCGTTGTAATTAAACGGCCGGGAGCTTTACATTCAAGCGATCGGGCATCTCGCTTAGCCTACGTGCGAAAACGACGATTGTGCCGCACGTTACATATTGCAGCGAACGTGAGAGTGAGAGTAATAATTCTCGGGCCATTAATCACTAATAACACTAAACTGATGAGCAATAAAAGCGTTTAAAGCATCGCCTATGGGCAATTTTCGCTTGTATTAGCAGTTGCTGTCACTGCCGATGCCAAATCTGAGACCCGCTGTGCCCGGTGCGGCTGGAACTGTCACGGCTGCTCTGTGACAGGAGATCAAAAGGAGATTGGTACACGATCTCCCTTTTATCTCCTCTCCAGTCCCCGAATGCAGGAAGTGATGTATATTACATCACTTCTGCATTCCTCTGTCACTCTCCAGCTTCAGAAGCTGGGGAGAAACTGGTGAAGCAGATCTCTGCTTCATCAGCTTCTCTGGGGGTCTCTAATGTCTCCATAAAGAGGACCTGTCATGTAAATTGGCTATCACATAGGGGGCCTTTTAGACCCCCATGTGGTAGCAATAAAGTTAAGTGGGAAAATAAGAGTAATAAAAAAAATAAAAGGAGCATAAAAAACAAAACAAAAAAAAACTACTTTTTTTTTTAAAGTCCCCCGCCCCCACATACACACGCAAACACGCGTCAGGTGCGCCAACGTGAAAAAACGACAGTTGCGCCTATTGGGCTGCACATGTTACATATCACCGCAAACGTCGGAGTGAGAGTAATAATTCTGGGCTATTAGTCACTAATAACACTAAACTGATGAGCAATAAAAGCGTTTAAAGCGTCGCCTATGGGCAATTTTCGGTGTGGTCGTTTGTGATTTTGCAGGCGAGTGCAATTTTAAGGCTTGACATGTTTGGTGTCTATATACCCGACATGACCCCGTCTTTTATATTTTACCAAAAATATGGGTAAGAATAAATGTTTTATAATATAAAGTAGGGAACACATTTTTTTTATTTCGAGCCTATAGTCCGGTCATGCTGACTGATGAAATTTTGACTGACGAGACACGCTAAAATTTTTCAAGCTCTGTACCTTACGCTTTATATCCGCTATAGAGGAATATAAATCCAGCAATAAGTTATACACTGTATGTATAATGTATTATTGGGATTTGTTGTATTCCTCTATAGCTGGTGGTATTCTGCAGTGTGCTGTATAATGATTATACAGCGCACTGCAGAATACCACCAGCTATAGAGGAATACAACAAATCCCAGCACTAATATATTATACTATACTGTATTATTGCTGGGATTTGTTGTGTTCCTCTAAAGCTGGTGGCATTCTGCATTGTGCCTCTGTATAGTGTATTATTACTGGGATTTGTTGTATTCCTCTATAGCTGGTGGTATCCTGCATTGCGCTGTATAATGTAGTATTGCTGGGATTTGTAGTCCTCTATAGCCAGTGCCATTCTGCATTGATTGCTGTATAATTTTACACTTTCTATTTCACTATACTGCACACCACACTTTTTTTTTTCTCCTTCCATCGTTCCAAGCTTGCTCCCGTGATGGACTACAATCTCAATACAAAGTAGTCTCATCGCTGAAATCTTTATTTTTTATTTGTATTAATCCAATTAATGAACTTAATCGGCTAACTAATTGATTTTGAAAATAATCGTTAGCTGCAGCCCTAGTCTACAGCTAATAAACACAGTACACAGAGGTCTAGTAAGAACCACAAGCCACATGTCCAGTGCCCAAATTTCAAATCCAGGCAAGCCCTGCAGTCGTCCAGTCCAGCAGGTCCTGGGCATGGTCTCCAAAGTCATTGCTTAGGATACAATGGTCCCGATAGCTGCATAAAGACACTAACTCAAGCAGCATGCAACAAAGTCTTTATTGAAGAAAAACATTTTTGAAAGACAAAAACCTGCTAGTTAAAATGGTTAAACTCAGAGAAAGGACATCCATCCTCCTAGGACACTTTTCTTTTTATGCCAGTGTCCAAATGCCACTGTAATTGGCACCAAAACATCTACGAATCCCATTTCCCTCAATGCACAGAAAATAAACAATTTTTATACATATTTCCAACTATCACTCACCATTTGGATGAAACATTTTGGATACAAATCTAACTGTTGGAGGTTTATTTGGATATTCTTCTGAAAATTCTATAACAAGTTTAAACGTTCCTAAAGGAAGAGAGAAAAAAAGTTACTTAAATCTAGTGGCAAAACATGTCTAGCTTTTGATGAAATTAAAATCTGCTTAACCCAGTTATTACAATCCCACAATTCTCATTATTCTGATAACATTACCAGTAATCATAACAATACTAGTCACTAAATGGAGAGAAAATTTCAAAAATTAATACTAGAAAAAAGTTTAAGTGAAATTCTTTCCCCAGACAAAAATCAATACAGTGGTGTCCTAGACCAGTGCTTCTTAAAGTGTGGGTCGTATATTATGTATGTCCAATCCCTACGCGTTTCACAACTTGGCTTCTTCAGGGGATTGTGACCTGCCCACCCATTTGAAGTGGCTTAACGAGGGTCAAGCTCTCTGTGTGGAGCATAGGCGGAGAAAAAACGACAGGGGGGGAATTTATCAAAACTGGAGCAGACAAAATCTGGAGATTTGCACTGCAGCCAATCAGCGTCTCTATTTCATTTTCAAATCTTACCTGAGCAAACTGAAGAGAGATGCTGATTGGTTGCCATGGGCAACTACTCCAGATTCTGTTTGCTCCAGTTTTGATCAATTTTCCCCACTAGGTCCTCAATTATTTACAAACACTCAGCAATCACTGATCGCTGAGTGTTTGTACCCTCTCTCCATCCTGACAGCTGTCTAAGGAGGCTGGGCGGTGCGGGAGGAGAGCTCAGCCCCCTGTGACAGCAATGAAAGCGGTCTCTGTTCACACCGCCGCTCTCTATCCTGGAGTGGCTGTCACACACCGCTCTCCCGATCTGTGACAGGAGGCTGAGCGACGCAGGGAGGAGAGACGCCGGCAGCTCACAGCGCTCGGCCTCCTGCGACAGTTTCTCTCCTCCTCGCTGGGACACAGAGCAGCACCCAGGGGGGAGGAGAGAAAGAATGGAGGCATTTTGCCAAAAGTGCTATTTTCGGCCGATATATCGGTGCATCCCTAGTAATTGGTATTGGCGAGTACTTGAGAAAAAGTTTTGGTACGCTTTCTTGTCTTGAAAAAAATGGTATCAGTGCATCCCTAGTTTAACCACTTGAAGTCCGCGGTGTTAAACCCCCTTCCCATCCAGGCTATTTTTCTTTTTTTACAGAAATATTGTTTATTGAGTTTTTCACAGACAGAAAATTAAAACAACATACAAAGGCAGCGTCAGGTGAGCATCCTTGAGAATAATAACATAGCTGTAAATAATAACAACCGTATAAGCAATTTATATGACATTGTGCCCAGATTCGAGCCGTGCCTCTGCCCAAAGTCTTGTCCCTGCCATGAGGGTCTCAGACTGCTAGAGCCCCCACCCCCGAGGGGGGTCAACGCTATTGAGTCGGGCGAGGACCTGGGTCTTCAGCATCAGGTTAGAAACAAGAAATCCTGCGAAAGCCCTGATTCCCTAACCATCAGGTAATTTGCCCCACCTAGAGCCGCTTTGCAAAAACAACATAAAAATTGACTCACAAGAAGACAAGCGGACAACAGAGGGACACACAAAAGGGGAAAGAAAGAAGGGGAGAGAAGGAAGGGGGGGGGGGTAGAGGATGATTACGTGGTCAAGGAGAGCAGATCATGCATTTATGTCATTGTCCTAAACTCATCCGTTGCCATAAACATTAGCCATGGCCTCCATCTGGACTGGAATGACTCAGACCTGTCCAGCCGCTCGGCAATCAGCTCCTAAGATCTCATTAGACGGCACATTTCCGCGGTCCATTCCCCCAGGGTTGGAACCACCTGAGAGTTCCAGTGTCTCGGGATCAACGCCCTAGCGGCGTTTACAAAAAATCATAAGAGGGATTTCTTTGCCCGGGAGATGGAACCCAAAAAAGCCGACAATATTGCCATTTGAGGCGTGAGATGGAGATCACTGGCAGACATTCTCGAGTACACGTGTGAGATGGTTCGCCAAAAGGGGGCAATCAGGGGGCAGCTCCACCAAATATGTGATAACGTACCAACACCCGTTTGGCACCTCCAGTAAGTGTCCGGTAGAGAGGGAAAAATCTGGTGCATCCTAGCCGGAGCTCTGTACCATCTAGTCAAGAGTTTGTAATTGCGTTCCTGCACCGATGAGGACATGCAGAGACTATGAGTGAAGCAGAAGCATTTCCGTCTCTCCTTCTCGGAAAGGACCACGCCCAATTCCCACTCCCATGCGGAGATGAAGTACGGGATTGCCCTCCGTCCCCAAAAAGTAGGAAATCGTACAAAAATGATATAAGATGGGGTGGGGATTCGCCTGCTGCACATAGTTGTTCAAATACAGTCAGGAGGTCTTGCATGGAGCCGTATGAGAAAAGTCTACGTACAAAGTGTTGAAGTTGGTGGTAGGCAAACCATGTATTTAGCGGCACAGGGTCAGGGGCAAAAAGTTGGGCCAAGGATTTGAGGGATCCCCCGCGTAGTCCCTGAAAAATGTATGAAGGAGCTGTCGCTTCCCAGCTCAGGAACCTAAGGACCCTGCACCCAGGGGGAAACTCCGGATGGGCCAGGATGGGGGTCATCAAGCCCCAGGAAGGCAACAATTTGTATTTGAGCCTTGTAGAATCCCACACTTTGAGCACCGGGGTGAGAAAGAAGGGTAGTGTAGAACTAGGGGGCCGTTGCTGGGACGGGAGCCAGGGGAGATTTGTGAGAGGAGACGGGGACAGTTCCCGCCGGGTTCCTGGTGTCAAACCAGTCTTCCAGATGTGATAAGTGAGTGACTCTATAGTAGACCTCGAGGTCCGGGAGTGCTGCCCCACCTCGTTCCCTCCTCATAGTTAAGACCGCATACCGTATCCTTGGTTTGCGGCACCTCCATATGTAGCGTATGATGGCGGAACGCAATCTGTTAAAGAAGTAAGGGGGCATAATTTGAAGGAGTAAAGGTCCGATGGGATGCGGACACCCAAATAAGTCATGTAGTCGGATTTCAGCGTAATGGGGAAGGAGCCACTCACACAGTCTGCCTCAGCTCGGGGCAAGGAAACATTCAGTAGTTCACACTTCTGTAGGTTCAACCGATAGTTGGACAGGCGGCCAAAGAGTTTAAATTCCTCCATCAGGGAGGGAATGCCCACGATAGGATTCGATAGATATATAAGCAAGTCGTCCGCATAGAGACCAAGTTTATGTACTTGGCCACCTATCTGAAGTCCCCGGACGGAGTCATTGCCTCTAATCGCATTGGCTAAGTGCTCCATCACCAAGATATAGAGCAAGGGGGAAAGGGGGCAGCCCTGCCTGGTGCCATTATAGATCGGGAATGGAGCCGACAAATTTCCATTGACCCGCACCCTAGGAAAGGGCCGGTGATACAATGCCATGATCCTGTCAACAAACTCAGGGGGGAGGCCCAAGTGCATTCTGTGTTTGGTATTATCCTTGACACTGCGCCTGGGTACAAACCCCACTTGATCTTTGTGAATGAGCTGCGGGATCAGGTCGGTTAAGCGATGTGCCAGAAGTTTGGCATACAGCTTAACATCTACATTGATCAAGGAAATAGGACGGAAATTATTGCAGTGCATGGTATCTTTACCTGGCTTGGGTAGAACCACTACCTGAGCCTCTAGCGATTGGCTGGGAAAGTGGCACGTAGAGGAGAGAGCGTTAAAGGAGTTCAGAAGAGGGGATGTTAAGATATCCTGGAAGCGTTTATAAAAACGGACAGTGAAACCATCCGGGCCAGGACTCTTGCCCGTCGGCAATGATTCTCCTCACTGACCGGTTTGCATCTGGTTCCCAGACCCACACAAGTGCACTATACACGTGATATATACATATATATATATATATACATATTTTTCCTGTCACCTTCTTTGATATATTCAGCCCAGTCAGCCAGCCGACCTAGTCTTGCGCCCTCTTGTTTTTCGTTTTGGTTTTTATATCCACAGGTACTCCTCCTGGTTCTCAGGGCTGCATACTATCTAGGGTCATACAATCCACGTCCCCAGGTTTAATCCGAGAGCGCTGTACGTACTATTTGCCTAAAAGAAAATTGGTGATTGTGGAATGGATGTCGGCCTTACAGCAAAGATCCAGAAGGAGGGTCTCATTCAGTTTCCATGAATAAGAAGACCTACTTGTGTGAGGTATCGTAAGGGCCAGTGAGACAGGGGAATGATTGGACCATATTTGTGCACCGGTCGACGTGTCGGGCGACCAGGAGAGGAGTCTATTCTGCTGTGAGATCTATGGGGACCGGAATAGCAAGTATAGTCTCTATGGGTCGGGTGTTGAATTCTCCAGATGTCGACCAGCTGGAGAGAATGTAGTCTCTTTTTCAATCTATTAATGGAGGAGAAAGAGACTTGAGACTTCCCAGATGTAGTGTCCAGGCTAGGATCAAGCACCACATTAAAGTCCCCCCCTAAAATGAGAACGCCCTCTGTGAAATCCGACAGCTGCGCCAAAATGGAAAGCACCTGGGGGATTTGTCCCTAGTTCGGTAGGAACACATTCGCTAGGGTGATCAGTTTGTTCTGGATGGAGCATTTCACAAAGACATACCTGCCCTCGGAGTCTACCCGTTCAGAGAATCCAGGCCATTTTTCAGTATTCAGCGCTGCGGTACTTTGACTGACGTTTATTCCGTCATAAACGTCAGTTAATTTTTTACCATTTTTATACAATTTTTTGGGGACAGATAGAGCTTTCTTTTGGTGGTATTTAAATCACCACTGCGGTTTTTATTTTTTACTATATTAAGGAAAAATTACCGAAATTTTTTAAAAAAACTGTTTCCCCTTTATTAAATGATAAAACATTTATTATTACCCAATTTTTTGGTAAAATATAAAAGACGGGGTCACGTCGGGTAAAAAGACACCAAACATGTCAAGCCTTAAAATTGCCTGCGCGCGCGAAACCTCAAAAAACGATAATACCCCAAATTGGCCATGGGCGACGGTTTAAAAGCTTCAGTTTAGTGTCATCAGTGATTGATGGCCCTAAAATGATTGCTCTCACTCTGACGTTCGCTGCGATATGTAACGTGTGTAG